CTACAGTTTGTGGGGTCCAACAAGAACTAGACCTTACACTTATCTGATCTCACACATAAACATTAACCGGTTAGGTCAGCTTGCTGATTGCTACATGTCATATTCAACAGACAGCACGTTAGTTTGTCCTCCAAAATCAGACCAAGACAATCCAACATGTTTGAAATCTCAGATTTATGATCGCAGTGGACCAGATATTCTTTTAAGCAGAAAAATATGCTCTGAAGACACAACACACAGTAGGAATATCTGATGAGATAATCTTTAGAACCACTGCAGTAATTGGGCAAGACCATAAAGCTGTCGAAAGGGAAGGATTGGGTCAAAATTTGTCACCATGATCCTGCCGTGTGAACTGGGCTTAAGCTAAGCTCTTTTTACTGCTCGATCTCTGTTTGAATCCTCAGCTAAGATTATGAACTTTGGATGCTGAATACAAGTAGCTGCAATGAGTTTCCTTCACAGGGTAGCCTGGTTAAGCTTTAGAAGAAGGCTGAGAGCTCAGATATCCAGGAGAGAGCCAATGAGGTGGTTGGGACTTTTGGTTAGAATGCTTCCTGCTTCCAGCATTTCCTGCCTGCACAAGGCTCCCAGGTTAACACAGGACATGTTAGGATCCAATCCAATCCAATCCAATTTTATTTATAAAGCACATTCACAAGGCATTACAACCAAACAAGGCGCTGATGATGGATGATTAAATCTCCACACTGGTCAGGAGATACTTTGGGATCCCATATTGCTGACCCTGATAAGTGGATGAAAACAAATGAACAACAACAAAAATACCCACAAATGATTAAAACATAACATTTAGATGATCATGAATCACACAGAGTGAAAAACAACACAAAAAGCAAGAGTCTCTATTTCTCTTTTGGCGCACAGGGACAGTATATTAAACAGAGCATGCTATGGATGGTTTGAGCTGGGTTTCAAGACTTTGACATTTAGCCCATTCATCATAACGGCCCACAGTCTGGGCATGGATTTCACCACAGACAGGGAGGGCAGGGAAGAGAAGGTCTGGCTGGCGATCAATTTGAGCAAATTGGAAATGTCACGGCCTACTCAACCTCGGAGGGAGCCGGAGGAGCTCTCATCTCCCTGCCGAGTCGCCCCGAAACACCTCTATCCTTAGATTCTCCCCACTGCCCTCACTTCCACCCCTCCAGATGTTTGGTTCGGCCCATGTGTCACAGCACTTCCACGTTGCGTTTCCGTCATGGAAACCCCTAAAAGTAGACAAATTAAACTTCACACCTGATTTAGTCATTTTTTCAATCAGCATATGGCTTGAAGAGTCAGTTTCTATCTATCTTTTTTAATTTTCGGAATAATTACTTGGAAATATTTTCATTATAAGCTAATATTTGTGAGGAATTGTTTTAGCAAACACCATGACCAGATTCACTCAAATGGATTCACACACATGCATGATGTGACTAGTGAGGCGGAATGATGCAATTTCAAGATTACACTTCGATTAATCAAATTTTACATATAATAAAAAGGGGTCCTTACAGAATTTCTGTAAGTGCTCTTGCTAAAAATACCTAAACAAGGTGAAAACAATGTAGTTACATTTGTGTAAAACTCCTCCTCTACTGCCATTCCTCATTAGCAAAACCTGCTGTTAAGGAGGAGAATGCCAGAAGAAACATCAACAAAGACTGAAAGTGAGCTCTCACCTTGGATGAATCGATTTCCAGAAAAACAGTTAACTTGTGGCATAATAGCTTTTGCCTGTTTCATTGGATTGTTTTCTCAGTGTGTTCATTTATTGAATCGTTTTGGCATGTAGGGGTGAATTGCACCAAATCAGGTTTTACTGCTTGTCTACTCCAAGTTTGAGTTAAAATCTTTTTATTTGTCTCCGTTGGGAGACACTTGGTTTAGACAGAGGGGGTTCCTGTGCATCACCATGCATATTTCACTCATTCAGACTATTACTAAAATAAAACAATACATACACGTATTATTAATAAAATTAATAATAGGTAGGTTTTAACAAACACAAGTCGACATAGCCAAATTACACCAGTCCTGCAACGTCTTCACTGGCTCCCCATCACATTTCGTGTGAGTTTAAGATATTGATGCTTGTTTTTAAAGCCCTACACGACCTAGCTCCTCCTTATCTGTCCGACCTGCTGACTCCCTATGTACCTACTCGTATGTTGAGGTCAGCTGACCGTCTACTGCTTTGCATTCCCGGATGGCCTACAAATTACGAGGTGAACATGCGTTTGTCTATGCGGCCCCCATGCTCTGGAACTCACTGCCCATTACAGTCAGGCTGGCATCCTCTCTGCCTGTTTTTAAATCACGTTTAAAATCCTACTTTTATGACTTGGCTTTTAGACAGTGATTCATGTTATCGTATTATGATTTTATAGGTTTTATTGTTGTGTTTTATCTTCTTATTGTTTTTACTTTTTTGTTTTAATTGATACTGCCTGTTCAGCACTTTGGTCAGCTCTCGCGCTGTGTCTTAAATTGTGCTATAGAAATAAAGTTGGTATGGTATGGTAATAAGACAACTAAAACATGAAAGGGATACTTAGAAACTTTTTCATATTTATAAATCATTTTCTTGAGCCAGAATGTGCTAAAATGATCCTTTACAGTATTGGTACTCCATGGCAGCCCTCTTCTTTCTGGCTTCAGGGTCCCTGGGCCCCCTCCTGCCTTAGGAGAATCTTGGTTTAGACAGAAGGGATTCCCCACCTCTGGAAATATGCAAGGAGTAAATAAGCCATTATGTCAGATGTTTTGATGTAATCTACATAGATATGAAATCGCATTGCTGCAATAGTGTCATGTCCTGTGTCCCTTTGGTCCCCAGCCTCCTCCTGTTCTCCCTCCAGGTATCCCCTCAGGTCCTGTGCTCCTTGCAGTCCCCAGCCCTTTTTGTCCCCAGCTCCCTCCAGGTTTCCCTCATGTTCTCCTAGTCTCTCCTCAGTTCTCGCTCCCCACTTAGATCATTTGTTTACTTATTTTTAGATTCCCCCGTGCCTTTGTTCTACAGTGTTTAAGTTTAGTTTGGGTTGTTTTAGTAGCTTTGGTTTACAGGTTTAAGATATAGTTTTCTCCCCTGCTTATTTCTGCTTCTTCCCTCAGTTCATTTGTTTCACCTGTGCCCCATTCCCCACGGACCTGCTCCTTGTCTCCTAATCACCCAGCCCCTGTGTATATAACCCTGTCTGTGTCTCTCAGTGTTTGTCGGTCCATTGTTGTTGTCAGTGTTGTTCTGTTCCTCCTCGTGAAACTCTAGGTTCTGCTCCTCAAAGAGCTTTTTGTTTTAGTCAGTCGGGTTATTGACGTTAGGCTTGGCTTCCTGCCCTGTTTGGATTATTTGAATTTTGGACTCTCTTCCTAAATAAAGGATTTTACTTTGATTTTGCTCCTGCCTTGTGTCGTTCTGGGTTTCTGCATCTTGGGTCCTAACCTCCTCCTGGCTCAACGTGGCAAATAGTCTTTTATTTTGAAAAATACCGGGGTTTTACACTGAAACAGTATGTGATTTCCGGTCTAGCCCTATATTCTGCAGAAACAGAAGCGGAACACGGCAAAAATAGAACCCGGTCCTATCTTTAGCAGCGTGGCGTGGTGAGCCGCTTCTGGGACATGCCTGAAAATGTCTGTGTCGTGGCTAAATAGAATTGCCCCCATAGATTATAATGGGTTCTCTGCACTGCTGATACTTCCAATGTGAAATAGGGTTAGGGATGTTACAGATCTAGATGAGAGCAGATAGCTAATCAAACAGTATGCAGATACAGATATGCTAATTAACATGGATCTACTAACGATGAATGGGTTTGGAAGCAAATGCGATGAATGAACACAAAGTAGTTTATCCTAGACACCCCATTACCAATATGACCATTAACTAATTCAGGTTTAATTAGTAGGAGCTGAACTTTGAAGTTCTTCCTGTGAAGTGTCAACACTGACTGTGGTATGGTTTCTCCTCCTTCCGTGTCACTCTGACTTTGTTTTTTAAAAGGCCCTCAGGGTAGACGACCCCCCACACACAGAAGATCAGGACTGGCAATTTCACAAAAGAGTCCTCTTCTGTTTCTGTCTATAATCTTTTCATTAAAGTGCAAATTGCTTTGAGTGGGTGGAACAACGACAAACACGTCATTTATTATGTAAATCACTTAGATGGTGCTTCTCACCTGCCTTCAAACGTGCGGTAACAGTAAAGAAGTGAACCTGAGACCGAGATTCAATCACAAAAAGCCTTCAGCAAAGCATAAGTGTCTGTTTTGCAGCCGCAAACCTCGACTTACTCACATCTCCCAAATGCACAAACACTACAAATAGCATGTACTCAGAGTGAGTGCTTGTCGTCAGCTGATGAGGTCCCCAGTGAAGAGAGTCACTCGTAAGCCGCGGAGTGCTACTTCAGCCACTCTGGTATCTTCAAATGGGCCATACAAGCCTGTTATCTACATTCAGAGATGGCTGGAGGAGCTAATGCCTGGGATCTGTGCGCACACCTTTGTTGCAAAAATGAGATCTATTTTGTCCAAACATCTGGCAGCTGCACTTACAAAACTTTAGAATCAAAACTCAAATATTTAACTTGCAATCGCCAATGGGAAAGAAAAAAAAGAAACTAGAATTTAATAAAATTCTGTTGGCTACCTTAGAAGAAAGCATTATTATTTTTCATTTATTTGTGACAAAATGGCTGTGCCTTTTTATTACAAATAGTCTTTTGTAATAATAAAAAGGCAAAACTTCACTGTGAACCACAATTGTAGAGCAGTCAAGCACGATGTGAACATGGCCCAGTTTGAAAACCAGAATGGAAAACTACTCAAAATATCCATTATTATTGAAATAAAACACAGTTAGGAGCCATTCTTCATTTTGCAGTGTTTCTTTCTCTAGTTGCTGCAAAAAAATACAATTTTTCTCATTTTTAATCCAATTCAGGTTGTCTTTCTCTGCGCGAATCAATTTCTGGCAGCATAAAGTCTTACCTATGTGTTTTCCATACATGTGGTAGAAGAAACCGAAGCAGTAGGCCGGTGGGTTGGTGATGCCGTACGGGTTTTTAGGTGCCACGTTGAATAAGGGACTCACGAGCCGTGCCTGGTCTCCTTCCTTACGTGGTCTGGAGGTCTCAATGTACATGTAGAACCCTTGCAGCAGAAAAACACAAAACTCACATATAAACAAATAATCTGTGCAAAAAGTATGACGCATGACATTGTATGTAATCAAAAAACTGTCATGAAACTTCCTTTCCTTGACAAAAAAACAGAACCTACCCTGCATTTGCAAACTGCTGAAAAAAAATAAAAAAACAGTCTCTCCGACCACCACCAGCAGGCAAGGCGGGTTAAGTGTCTTGCCCAAGGACACAGCAGCAACATTCTCTGGTCGGAGCTGGGATTGAACCTGAAACCTTCAGATTACGGCAAGGTTGCTCTACCTCCTGCGCTACTGCTGTCCCTGGATTGCCTAAAATATAAATCAATCACTGCCATTCACAACAAAAATCATCATTTGCATTTTTTTTTACTGTGTGGGCGTCGGAACGAGCCCCCGCACCCTGAGAACAAACATCCCAGCTCTAAAGCTGATTTTCATCAGTCAAGTCAAGTCAGTGACTCGATGCAATTTGCTGGGTTCCTTATATATAAAGGGACCCAGCAATGCTTTATAAATAAAGCTTTGATTGATTGATTGATAGATATATAGGAAACTTTTTCTGATTGGCTTAATTAACTGACCTGGATTGGAATGTTTATTATGTGAAGTGCCTTGAGACGACTCTTGTCGTGATTTGGCGCTATATAAATAATAATGAATTGAATTGAATCCACGTACACCACATGTCACGTGATCAGGAAGCAGAAAATCCATGTGTTAGGAGATCGTTTTGGGCCGCTGCTGTAAAAAAAAGTGAGGCGCAAAGCGGAAAAGCATCTGCCGATCAAAATTCGACAATGGATTATGAAAGAACGGATAACGCTAGAAACATGTGGATTCATCCTGATGTAAGAAGTGAGTCTACCCTTTGTTTTGGTAGTGTTGATGTTGACATCATCATAGAGCACAACATTCTGTGAATCTTCAAATAACAGTTAAAATGCTGAAAAATGCTGGCAGCGAAGGGCTTTTCTGATCAGGAAACGGCTGGCCATGGAACGAGTTAAAAACAATACACAGTTTTTTAGCATATGTAAATTTCATTACATTTATAATATTTGAATTGAACTCAAACTGAAATCAATTGATTTATTTAAATTTTCAACGTATAGAACGAGCATGGCATGCTGGTAAATCTGTTCCATCCCACCAGTAATCAGCGAGCTGAACAATGAACACAATTTTTACTGTTACCCCAACAAGAAGGAATCATCTATAAACTACATTGTACTCTTAAGTTAGCATTACACAAGTCAATCATGTTGATCTTACAAACTTGATCCAATTATATAGAAACGACATGTAAGGAATTAATAACGTGTTTTTATCAGTGTATGTTTACCAAAAATGGAAAGCGACTGCAAATATTTCAAACTTAAATACAGCTCCTGTAGTAAAAGATCAAAATCTGAAGTTAATACTGCATGCAATGTGTAATATATGAAGAGAGTTTGTGGAAAAAGTCAGTGGGTTTTACTGGGGGACTAGAGATAAACATGAAGGTTTGATGCCACTGATAGCAGACATTTTCTCCAAGTTCTCATAGACTAATCGCGATAGCTAGGGGCTAATCGAGGTGATAACGAGGTTAGATTTCAGGTCCCTCCGTCTGACAGTCGGGGACAGCAGTGATGACACCAGAGAGTCAGACGGGCCTGTGATTGTGTCTGAGCCAAATAATCTGAAGCCAATCTGTGACCTGCCATGGGCATGGGGACGGTGGCTGGTGAGCCCCTCCAGCTAAAATCAAATGGAATATCTCCCTCTGTTGAATCTCATATCAGATAATTATATGCACAGAGGAACGGGGCTGGTAATGAAATGCCAGACATTTTGAAACCATTAGGTGATTAAAGCCAATGCATTATTTACTACTTCAGCTGCTGCTGGCGCCACAGCAGCATAATAGGCATTTATATTTAACTTCCATCAGAGTGTTCACATGGAACCTCTGATGGGTTCAACATATCTGATTTCATTTTGACTTTTGTAATTAAGTAATGAAGAATGGGACACTTGTAATACATCCTAAATTTGAGTCTGATTGGGGAAACAAAATGAAGCACCATTTACAAGTGATTTTTTTGTCAGTTTGTGCTGTACTAAACACACAAAAAGCACAGCCTAAAGCATTCATTATGCCGTAGCGTAGCTCAAGGCCTGCATTTCATCAAATGGCCAAAATGTTCCACACCACGAGACACCAAGGCTCCTGTGAAGACACAAGACTTTTAAAAATCTAAATCTCTTTGATAAAATTGTCTTTTCTGGCTCATAAAATGACTTTCTAACTTCTCTACAAGTATTACAATTATATTCTGTGGTACGTACAATATCTTTCAAAGGGAACAAAGAATCTAAATCAACATGTTCTTGGTGTTTGTGAATAAAGACAGCTTGGTTGGTCAAAAACAGCGTGCCAAAAAGGCTAAGCAGTGTGTGACCTACTTTTTATGTAATTAAATTAGACAGTTTAAAAATGCCAGAGAAAAACTTCTTTTCTGAGAAACCTCTATTTAAAATGTCACAATGTGGAGCCCTTCCTCCTCCAGTCTGCAGTCTCCAGTGTCTGAGGCCTTCTGGTTTAAACCAACCAATCAGCAAGCAGTCCATTAGCATGTTCATGTTCTGGCCAGGGGTAAACAGCTCTTTTATGGGGTTTAGAATGGCCTGTATCAGGGCTCCTGCAGCAGATGAAAGCCAAAAGAACATTTCTTATGCTTCTTAAGCATGGTTTATGCTTGACGCATTTACTTTCCGCTTGGTGATGCGGCTCGCGGATGGAACGCGCTTCACAACGTGCAGCGTTTATGGTACATGCGACTTGTCTCTGCGGTGAGCCAATATTCTCCCAAACTGTAGGGGGCAGCATGGAGCTCTACGGCATGCATCCAACACTACACCATAGTAGAAGTAGAAATTACTGTTGTTTACAACATGGCATTCCAGCATTTTTTAACAGCGTCCTCGTCTTTTCCGACAGTGCGAGCTATGTCTCTCCAAGAATTATTAACATGTTGATCACGGTGATCTTTGAGAGCTGAATCATACAAATGTCTGTATTTACGAACCTCTGCCATACTAGTTCTTGCCAGTCCGCCATGTTTTTCCACGTCCGATCGTCCGTGTGCTTAGAAAATTTCCTAGGTGCGAGATGCGGAAAATTTGGGCCGTGCGGAGGCGTGGTGTGGTTGTTAAAATGACGCAATTTTGCCGCATGGAGCCGTACGAACCTCACGGACGCGTCAAGCATAAACCAAGCTTTAGAGATTCAAAGCACTGTTTTAGATCGCGGATAAAGTGTTTAAATAATGTTGAACGCTCTACAGTAATGAATGATGGGTTAACAATTGTTCATTCTTTTAATGATATATTCCAGACATTAAATTACGCCAGATTAGCCTATTTGTTGAATTTAATAATGATTTGTTTATCAGTATATTAACACATTATTAATATTATTATGAATGTTTACATATTCACCTCACATTAACGTTTATTAAGATTTACTCCACAGTAGGTGAAATAACCTCTCCAAGTGTTTGAGAAAGTAGTGGTGTCTGAGGTCTTTGATAACGTCCACTTCATATTAGTCAAACGCTGATTTGTCCAAATTGATAAACAATAGTTAATAAAAGAGAGTTCACTGCCTGAACATTTCAGTTCTAGCGAGCTGCCTGTTTCGGCCGACTGGGTCAGTAAAGCATAAGGAACCATCCTCCTTTTGACCTCCAGGTCAAACCTGCTTTGCAAATCTGCAAAGCTGCATCAGATGCAAAACAGTTCCACCAGCTTCCAGCAACCTGGAGGGTATCTAAAGCCTGCCACACATGAGCGCAAACTGCTGAGCCCAGATAACTTGCTGTTTGCACCTGATTTTCACTGAGTTTTCCGCCTCATGAGATGCTGAGGTGAATATCTGACCAGTTTGATATTTTCCACCTCATGGGGGTAAAAACTCATTGTGTGTGCACTACGTGAGCTGCTGGCTGAGCTGAAATATTCTAGTGGCCAAGCGCGTTCCCAGTGAGAGTTGGGCTCCGCCAAGGCTGCCCTTTGTCACTGATTCTGTTCATAACTTTATGGACATGATTTCTAGGTGTAGCCAAGGTGTTGAGTGGATCCGTTTAATAGGCCTGAAGATCGGGTCTCTGCTTTTTGCAGATTATGCGGTCCTGTTGGCTTCATCAGAACATGATCTTTGGCTTTTGCTGGAGCGGTTCGCAGCTGAGTATGGTGGGGCTGGGATGGAATCAGCTTCTCGAAATCTGAGACCATTGTCTTCATTCAGAAAAGGGTAGAATGCCTTTTATGGGTCAGGGGTGAGGTTCTGCCCCAAGCGGAGAAGTTTAAGTATCTCAGGGTCTTGTTCACAAGTGAGGGAAAGCTGGAGCATGAGATCGATAGGCGGATTGGTGTTGCATCTGCAGTGATGCGGGCGTTGTATCCCTGGTCTGTTGTGGTGAAGAGAGAGCTGAGCCAGAAGGGAAAGGTCTCGATTTACTGGTCGATCTACATTCCTACCCTTACCTATGGTCATGAGCTTTGGGTAGTGACCGAAAGAACAAGATTGCGGGTACAAGCAGCCGAAATTAGTTTGCTCCGCAGGGTGACTGGGCTCTCCCTTAGAGATAGGGTGAGAAGCTTGGCCATCCGGGAGGGGCTCGGAGTACATCCGCTGCTTCTTCACGTCGAGAGGAGCCACTTATGGTGGCTCGGGCATCTGGTCAGTATGCCTCCCTGGTGAGGTATTCCGGGCACGTCCAACCGGGAGGAAGCCTAAAGCAAGACCCAGGACACGTTGGAGGGACTATGTCTCTCACCTGGCCAGTGAACGCCTTGGGATTCCCCCGGAAGAGCTGGCCCAAGTGGCTGGGGAGAGGGAAGTCTGGGCCTCTCGACTTAGGCTGCTGCCCCCGCGTCCTGACTCAGGATAAGCGGAAGAAAATGAATGGGTGGATAGATGGATGGCTAGATGGACAGCTAC